ATTAGTAATGAAGGTATCTCTTGATAATCTCATCTCAATGTAAACCAATTTGTTATAATCTTTTTTAATTCATTTTTAATGAAATTAAAGAATTACAGAGAAAGAAAAGGGATACATAATATTGTTGTGGAAACTGGAAATAGATGAGTTGAATTAATAACGTGCGGGACCCATTTATGACAAAACACGAAGTCATGGACTAGTTGCTTACTTGTGTACATGGAGGTCTAAGATGTATTGCTAGTAATGGTGTAGAGATAGTACATAGTAGTACTTAATTGGTGGTTAATCTGAGTATATTTTGATGGAGTTGAAATGTTAAGGTATGTGCTACTTACACTCCCCTTATTGGAAGGGCTGTGGTGCCAAGGGTGTTGGGTCCAAGAGAGAACTACTCTCCTTCAGCCCAAACCTTTGTTCAATTCTACTTTTTCTCCAAGAAATGGGGTGAGAGAAGAGAAAAAATTCAAACTGTTGTCAATGGAAGAAGGTTGAGTGGAACTTTCACCACTAGACGAGTTATCTCACTCGTCCTTATTTTCACACAGGCTGGAGCATGTAGCAGTTTCACTATCATGTATATGAATGCCTCTTTGTTTCTTCCATTTGAGGAATTGAAGTCTCACTTTGAATTTTAATGGAATAGCTAGTTTCATATTTTATCTACCTTTCAACTCAGTTAAAATTGTGATTATCAATGATCTAGCATTTCAATATTTATATGTTCAGCATATTCATCTCATTCTTGTTGTCCTATCCCACATATTTTATTTATGCGTTACTTTTTTTAATTAAACCAAAATTACAATTCTTGTGATCTATTTGTAGGGTTTCTTAAGCATTTAAAGAAGTTGAGCAATTTGGAAGTCCTTGACTTGGAAGGAAATTTCTTCAATAACAGCATTTTGCCGTATTTGAGTGAGCTTTTATCTCTCAAGTTTCTATCTCTAGCTTACAACAATCTCCAAGCATCTAACCATGTTGAAGGTATAGATGTCTACCTTTCACTTATTGAAACCTATTTCCTAATTATTTCATCTGAATATATATGTGGCTCCAAAATTGAATTAGTAATTGTATGTACCGCAGATTTCAAGAGGTTTTCTAAGTTGAAAAAACTAGAATTTCTCAATCTAAGTTATGATATGTTGACCAATAATAGTATCTTATTTCATCTTTGAGTGAGCTTTTATCTCTCAAGTTTTTATATCTAGCTCAACATGAATTCCGAGCATCTAACTATGTATAGATGTCTCACTTTCTCTTATAAAACCCATTTCCTTATTGTTTCATATCTTAATATATATGTGGCCCCAAAACTAAATAAATAATTATATACATTGCAAGTTTTGAGAGCTTTCCTATGTCAAAAAAACTTGCAAATCCTAGATCCAAATCACAATAAGTTAAACAATAATATCTTATCATCCTTTAGTTATAACTAAACAACTTATTGGCTTCTAACTATTTTACAGTTTTAATTTTATGTTATATGCTTAGCAAAATTAGACAATTGTGGACAACATGCTTTGATGATTAATTTGTAACAGCTAATTTAGAAAAGCTGTCAAGACTTGAACATTTGGAGGTGCTAGACCTACGTGGAAGAATAAACTTCA